CACCATCACCACCACCAGACCACCACCTCACCACCAATGAGGCTGTCTCTCTCTAACGAGCTCTGTGACAGCGTCTTGTGGGGAGCTCACGCAGCTCTGCAGCTCCTCGTTCCATCGCGCGTCTGCAGCGGCAGCACAACAACAACATTGTCAACAACATCATCAACATCGTCAACAACAACATCATCATCGGCAACACAACAACATCATCATCTCAACCATCAACATCGTCAACACACGAAAACAACACATCGTCAACAACAACATCGTCAACAACGACATCAACACAATAACATTCGTGAGCGCCTGAGTGGCTGGTGGGTGAGTGAGTGGCTGAGTGGGGTGGTTGAGTGAGTGTGTGAGTGGGTGAGTGAGTGAGTGGCTGAGTGAGTGAGTGAGTGATTGAGTGGTGAGTGAGTGGGTAATGGTGGGTGAGTGAGTGAGTCTGATGGTGGGTGAGTGTGAGTCGGTGGGTGAGTGAGTGGGGGGCTGAGTGTGGTGAGTCGAGTGGGTGAGTGAGTGGCTGAGGTGGGTGAGTGAGTTGTGTGAGTGGCTGAGTGAGTGAGTTGCTGAGTGGGGTGAGTGAGTGAGGAGTGAGCGGCTAGAGAGAGAGTGAGTGAGTGCTTGGGGGAGTTGATTGAAATGAGTGAGTGAGCGGCGCAGCGAGTGAGTGAGTGAGTGAGTGAGTGAGCGAGCGAGCTAGCGAGAGAGTGAGTGAGTGGCTGGGTGAGTGAGTGAGCGAGTGAGTGAGTGAGCGAGCTAGCGAGAGAGTGAGTGAGTGGCTGGGTGAGTGAGTGAGTGAGCGAGTGAGCGAGCGAGCGATTGGCTGAGCGAGTGAGTGGGTGAGTGAGTGAGCAAGTGGTTGAGCGAGCGAGTGAGCGAGTGGCTGAGCGAGCGAGCGAGTGGCTGAGTGAGTGAGTGGCTGAGTGAGTGGGTGAGTGAGTGAGTGGGTGAGTGAGTGGGTGAGTGAGCGGGTGAGTGAGCGAGCAAGTGGCTGAGCGAGTGAGTGGGTGAGCGAGCGAGCGAGCGATTGGCTGAGTGAGTGGGTGAGTGAGTGGGTGAGTGAGCAAGTGAGTGAGCGAGCAAGTGGCTGAGCGAGTGAGTGGGTGAGCGAGCGAGTGAGTGGGAGAGCGAGCGAGTGATTGGCTGAGTGAGTGGGTGAGTGAGTGAGTGGGTGAGTGAGCAAGTGAGTGAGCGAGCGAGTGGCTGAGCGAGTGAGTGGGTGAGCGAGCGAGCGAGTGAGTGGGTGAGTATGCGGGTGAGTGGGTGAGTGAGTGAGCTCACCTCGTGCTGTGGCCGCCTGCGAGTGAGTAGCGCAGGAACGTGGAGTGAAGCTTGTGAGTGAGTGAGTGGGTGAGTGAGTGAGTGGGTGAGTGAGTGGCTGAGTGAGTGGGTGAGTGAGTGAGTGGGTGAGTGAGTGGGTGAGTGAGTGGGTGAGTGAGTGAGTAGCGCAGGATCGTGGAGTGAAGCTGCTCCTTGCTGAGCAGTGTCAACCAGAGACGACGCACCGGCAGCGCCCATCGGTGGTGGGACCTGGAGCCAACAGCATCATCATGATTAGCAGCAGCACCATCACCACCAGCACCATCACCATCATTACCATCACCACCGCCACCACCGCCCCCACCAACGCCCCCACCACCGCCACCACCCCCACCAACGCCCCCACCACCACCACCCCCACCACCACCCCCACCACCCCCACTACCACCACCATCACCACCACCCCCATCACCACCACCATCACCACCACCACAACCACCACCACAACCATCACCACCACCATCACCACCACCACCATCAGCACCACCACCACCACCATCACCATCATCACCACTATCATCACCACCCCCATCACCCCCAACATCACCACCACCATCATCACCACCACCATCACCACCATCACCATCACCACCACCACCACCATCACCACCACCACCATCATCACCATCATTACCATCACCACCACCATCACCACCACCATCACCTCCCCCACCACCATCACCATCACCACCACCACCGCCACCATCACCACCACCACCTATCATCACCATCACCACCACCACCACCACCATTACCACCACCATCACCACCATCACCATCACCACCGCCATCGCCATCACCACCACCACCATCACCACCACCATCACCACCATCACCACCACCACCACCATCACCACCATCACCACCCCCATCACCACCATCACCACCACCACCATCACCACCATCACCACCACCACCTTGAATGTGGCTCTCTCTCTCTAACGAGTCTCTGTGACAGCGTCTTGTGGGGGAGCTCACGGCAGCTCTGCAGCTGCTCGTTCCAGTCGCGCGTCTGCAGCGGCAGCAACAACAACATTGTCAACGACATCATCAACATCGTCAACAACAACATCATCATCGTCAACAACAACGACAACAACAACAACATCGTCAACAACAACATCAACAACAACAACATTATGTGAGCGCCTGAGTGGCTGAGTGGGTGAGTGAGTGGCTGAGTGAGTGGGTGAGTGGGTGAGTAAGTGAGTGGGTGAGTGAGTGGGGGAGTGAGTGGGTGAGTGAGTGGGTGAGTGAGTGGCTGAGTGAGTGAGTGGCTGAGTGGGTGAGTGCGTGGGTGAGTGAGTGGCTGAGTGGGTGGGTGAGTGGGTGGGTGAGTGAGTGGCTGAGTGGGTGAGTGAGTGGCTGAGTGGGTGGGTGAGTGACTGAGTGGGTGAGTGACTGAGTGGGTGAGTGAGTGTGTGAGTGAGTGAGTGACTGAGTGCCTGAGTGAGTGTCTGAGTGGGTGAGTGAGTGTGTGAGTGAGTGGCTGACTGAGTGAGTGCGTGAGTGAGTGGCTGAGTGAGTGAATGGCTGAGTGAGTGAGTGGGTGAGTGAGTGAGTGAGTGGCTGAGTGGGTGAGTGAGTGGGTGAGTGAGTGTCTGAGTGGGTGAGTGTGTGAGTGAGTGAGTGAGTGACTGAGTGACTGAGTGAGTGCGTGAGTGGGTGGGTGAGCAGGTGAGTGGGTGAGTGGTGAGTGAGTGGGTGGGTGAGTGGGTGAGTGGGTGGGTAAGTGGGTGAGTGAGTGGGTGTGTGGGATGGTGAGATGGTGAGTGAGTGAGTGGGTGAGTGAGTGGGTGGGTGAGTGGGTGGGTGAGTGAGTGGTGAGTGAGTGGTGAGTGAGTGGTGAGTGAGCGAGTGAGTGATGAGTGAGTGGTGAGTGAGTGGTGAGTGATGAGTGGTGAGTGAGTGGTGAGTGATGAGTGGTGAGTGAGTGGTGAGTGAGTGTGTGGTGAGTGAGTGTATGGTGAGAGTGGTGAGTGAGTGGTGATAGGGAATCGGTTCCCATAGAAAGTCTATGGTACAATGTTAAGAGATAGGGAACCGGTTCCCATAGAAAGTCTATGGTACAATGTTAAGAGATAGGGAATTGGTTCCCATAGAAAGTCTATGGGACAATGTTAAGAGATAGGGAAGGGTGGTGAGTGGTGAGCGGTGGTGGTGAGCGGTGGTGGTGAGTGGTAGTGAGTGGTGACTGAATGGTGGTGAGCGGGTGGTGAGCGCTGGTGAGCAGTGGTGAGTGGTGGTTACCGGTGCTGGTGAGTGGAGAGTAGTGAGTAGTGAGTAGTGAGGGGTGAGCGGTGGTGAGTGGTAGTGGTGAGTGGTGGTGAGTGGTGGTAAGTGGTAGTGGTGAGTGGTGGTGGTGGTGGTGAGCGGTGAGTGGTGGTGAGTAGTGGTGGTGAGTAGTGGTGGTAGTGGTGAGTAGTGGTGGTAGTGGTGAGTAGTGGTGATGGGGGGGGTGGTGATGGTGGTGGTGATGGTGGTGATGGTGGTGGTGATGGTGGGGATGATGGTTGTGGTGATGGTGATGGTGGTAGTGGTGATGGTGGTGATGGTGGTGATGATGATGGTGGTAGTGATGGTGGTGGTAATGGTGGTGGTGATGATGGCGATGGTAGTGATGGTGGTGATGGTGGTGGTGGTGATGGTGGTGATGGTGGTGGTGATGGTGGTGGTGATGGTGGTGGTGATGGTGGTGGTGATGGTGGTGGTGGTAGTGATGGTGGTGATGGTGGTGGTGGTGATGGTGGTGATGGTGGTGATGGTGGTGGTGATGGTGGTGGTGGTGATGGTGGTGGTGATGGTGGTGGTGATGGTGGTGATGGTGGTGGTGATGGTGGTGATGGTGGTGGTGGTGATGGTGGTAGTGATGGTGGTGGTAATGGTGGTGGTGATGATGGTGATGGTAGTGATGGTGGTGGTGGTGATGGTGGTGATGGTGGTGGTGATGGTGGTGGTGATGGTGGTGGTGGCACCTAAAGAAGTTGTTGTTCTAGATGAACATGTGTGAGCGGGGCTCCTCCCCCAGGTTGATGGCCATCACCGCCACCACCACCATCACCACCACCACCACCACCATCACAACTACCACCGCCACCATCGCAACCACCACCATCACCACCACCATCACCACCACCACCACCACCACCATTATAACCACCACCGCCACCATCGCCACCACCACCATCACCACCACCATCACCACCACCAACCCCATCACCACCACCACCATCACCACCACCACCACCATCACAACCACCAGCGCCACCAACACCGCCCCCACCACCGCCATCACCAACATCACCACCACCATCACCACCACCACCACCATCACCACCACCATCACCATCACCACCATCATCACCACCATCACCACCATCACCACCACCACCATCACCATCACCACCACCACCATCACCACCACCATCACCTCCCCCACCACCTCCACCACCACCATCACCACCATCACCACCACCACCATCACCACCACCACCATCACCACCACCACCATCACCACCACCATCACCACCATCACCATCACCACCATCACCACCACCACCATCACCACCACCACCATCACCACCACCATCACCACCACCACCACCATCATCACCACCACCACCCCCATGACCACCACCACCATCACCACCATCACCACCACCATGACCACCACCTTGAATGTGGCTCTCTCTCTCTAACGAGTCTCTGTGACAGCGTCTTGTGGGGGAGCTCACGGCAGCTCTGCAGCTCCTCGTTCCAGTCGCGCGTCTGCAGCGGCAGCAACAACAACAACATTGTCAACAACATCATCAACATCGTCAACAACAACATCATCATCGTCAACAACAACGACAACAACATCGTCAACAACAACAACATTACGTGAGCGCCTGAGTGGCTGAGTGGGTGAGTGAGTGGCTGAGTGGGTGAGTGAGTGGGTGAGTGAGTGGGTGAGTGGGTGGGTGAGTGAGTGAGTGGCTGAGTGGGTGGGTGAGTGGGTGAGTGGGTGGGTGAGTGAGTGGCTGAGTGGGTGAGTGAGTGACTGAGTGGGTGAGTGAGTGAGTGAGTGTGTGAGTGAGTGACTGAGTGCCTGAGTGAGTGTCTGAGTGGGTGAGTGAGTGACTGACTGAGTGCGTGAGTGAGTGGCTGAGTGAGTGAGTGGCAGAGTGAGTGAGTGGGTGAGTGAGTGAGTGGGTGAGTGAGTGAGTGGGTGAGTGAGTGAGTGGCTGAGTGGGTGAGTGAGTGAGTGAGTGGGTGAGTGAGTGGCTGAGTGGGTGAGTGAGTGAGTGTGTGAGTGAGTGAGTGTCTGAGTGGCTGAGTGGGTGAGTGAGTGGCTGAGTGAGTGGGTGAGTGGGTGAGTGAGTGAGTGAGTGGGTGAGTGAGTGGGTGAGTGAGTGGGTGAGTGAGTGGGTGAGTGAGTGGTTGAGTGAGTGAGTGAGTGGGTGAGTGTGTGAGTGAGTGACTGAGTGCCTGAGTTAGTGTCTGAGTGGGTGAGTGAGTGAGTGTGTGAGTGAGTGACTGAGTGAGTGCGTTAGTGAGTGGCTGAGTGAGTGAGTGAGTGGCTGAGTGAGTGAGTGGGTGAGTGAGTGAGTGGTTGAGTGAGTGAGTGGGTGAGTGAGTGAGCAGCTGAGTGGGTGAGTGAGTGGGTGAGTGAGTGTCTGAGTATATGAGTGTGTGAGTGAGTGAGTGACTGAGTGACTGAGTGAGTGGGTGAGTGGGTGGGTGAGCGGGTGAGTGGGTGAGTGGTGAGTGAGTGGGTGGATGAGTGAGTGGGTGGGTGAGTGGGTGAGTGGGTAAGTGGGTGAGTGAGTGGGTGTGTGGGGTGGTGAGATGGTGAGGGGGTGAGTGGGTCGGTGAGTGAGTGGGTGAGTGAGTGGGTGGGTGAGTGAGTGGGTGGGTGAGTGAGTGGTGAGTGAGTGGCTGAGTGAGTGAGTGGCTGAGTGGATGAGTGAGTGGGTGAGTGGGTGGGTGAGTGGATGGGTGAGTGAGTGAGTGGCTGAGTGGGTGGGTGAGTGGGTGAGTGGGTGGGTGAGTGAGTGGCTGAGTGGGTGAGTGAGTGACTGAGTGGGTGAGTGAGTGAGTGAGTGTGTGAGTGAGTGACTGAGTGCCTGAGTGAGTGTCTGAGTGGGTGAGTGAGTGACTGACTGAGTGCGTGAGTGAGTGGCTGAGTGAGTGAGTGGCAGAGTGAGTGAGTGGGTGAGTGAGTGAGT